AGCAATTCCTGATCCCAGCAGGAATGGAATTGCCTCGGTCCCTGATCCCGGCAGGATTGGGATCAACCCTGATCCCAGCGTGAAAGAGGTCTCAGTAGCTCCTGATCCCAGCAATCCCTGATCCTGGCAGGAATGGGATCCCAGCCCCTCCTGATCCCAGCAGGAATGGGATCATCACAATCCCTGATCCCAGTAGCTCCTGATCCTGGCAGGAATGGGATCACCCTGGTCCCGGCAGGAATGGGATCCCAGCCCCTCCTGATCCCGGCAGGAATGGGATCATCACAATCCCTGATCCCAGTAGCTCCTGATCCTGGCAGGAATGGGATCACCCTGGTCCCGGCAGGAATGGGATCCCAGGCCCTCCTGATCCCATCAGGAATGGATTCACCGTGGTCCCTGATCCCGGCAGGAATGGGATCACCACAATCCCTGATCCCAGTAGCTCCTGATCCTGGCAGGAATGGGATCATCACAGTCCCTGATCCGGGCAGGAGTGGGATCGCCCCAATCCCTGATCTCACCTGCTCCTTTTCCTGACAATCCCTGATCCCATCAGGAATGGCATGATCACAATCCCTGATCCCAGCAGCTCCTGATCCTGGCAATCCCTGATCCCAGCAGGCATGGGATCACCCTAATCCTTGATCCCAGCAGGAAAGGGATCCCAGGCCCTCCTGATCCCATCAGGAATGGGATTGCCCTGGTCCCTGATCCCATCAGGAATGGGATCACCACAATCCCTGATCTCAGTAGCTCCTGGTCCCAGCAATCCCTGATCCTAGGAGGAATGGGATCATCCCAATCCCAGCAGGAATGGGATCACCCCAAACCCTTATCTCAGCTCCTCCTTTTCCTGACAATCCCTGATCCCAGCAGGAGTGGGATCACCCTGATCCCTGATCCCAGCTGCTCCTTATCCTGACAATCCCTGATCACATCAATCCTTGATCCCAGCAGTTCCATTTCCCAACAATCCCTAATCCCAGCAGCTCCTGATCTCACCAATCCCCTGATCCCAACAATCCCTAATCCCAGCAGGAATGGGATCCCACCAACCCCCTGATCCCAACAACCCCTGATCCCAACAATCCCAGATCCCAGCAGGAATGGGATCCCGACAATCCCTGATCCCGACAGTCCCTGATCCCAACAATCCCAGATCCCAGCAGGAATGGGATCCTGACAATCCCTGATCCCAACAACCCCTGATCCCAACAATCCCAGATCCCAGCAGGAATGGGATCCTGACAATCCCTGATCCCAACAACCCCTGATCCCAACAATCCCAGATCCCAGCAGGAATGGGATCCCGACAATCCCTGATCCCGACAGTCCCTGATCCCAACAATCCCAGATCCCAGCAGGAATGGGATCCCGACAATCCCTGATCCCGACAATCCCTGATCCCAACAATCCCGGATCCCAGCAGCCCGCACACCCTGCAGACGTGGGGCCCTTGTCCCACGCTGGGATTTGGGGGTCTTGGGGCAGCTCTGGGTCGGTGTCCCCGTGTCCCAGGAACGATCCAGCCCTGCCTTGCTCTGTCCTGGCTCTGGTGGCCTCTGGAATTCCCTGAGGGATGGGAAAATCTTGGCCCATCCACGCTTGGAGAACGGGATGGAGAAGTTCCATTGGATCATCTCCCTGCCACGAGTGGTTGGTGCCTGGGATGTCCAGCTGGAATCTTCTGGAGACTCCAGGGTGCTTTGGGTGGTTGTGGATTTGGGATCTGCTGCTCTCACCATGTCTCTCTAAGCCGGGTTTATCTGTGGAAACCCCAGTTTGGAGATTTGGGATCTGCTGTTCCCACCACCACTCTCTAAGCTGAGTTTACCTGTGGAGATCTGGGATCTGCTGTTCCCACCAGTCCCCTCTAAGCTGAGTTTACCTGTGGAGATTTGGGATCTGCTGTTCCCACCACCCCTCTCTAAGCCGGGTTTACCTGTGGAGATTTGGGATCTGCTGCTCCCACCACTCCCCTCTAAGCCAGGTTTACCTGTGCAGACCCAGCCAGGTGAGGTGGGACCTGAGCCCGGCTGCCCATGGATGACCCCACAGATAACGGGATCAGCCTCCCTGCTGGTGTGGTACGGCGGAGCTGGAGGAGTCAATGAGGCCAGCACTCACTGTGGCTCCGGTGCAGCTCTCTCCAAGTGAGGTGTGGAGAGGGTCACTGACCCCTGTGTGTGTTCAGCTGGGGATTCCATCCCTCACCTCTGCCCTCTCAGATGTGGAGTTTCTCCTGACTGTGTAACTCGGGAGAAAATGTAAATTCAGTGTAAGGACATCAATGAGACCAAGGACATTAACAAGAGCGACCCCTTTAAGTTTCAAGTTTGAGTTTTCCCCCATTCTCCTGTTAATGACGTGCCAGTTTGGTGCCGCAGGAGAGAGACAGAATCTGCGTCTGTGGTAGCCCAAGCTCAGAGGTTTCACCTGCGTGTCCTTCCCAGGTGGGATCAGCTCCCTTGGGAAGCGGCGCTGCAGTAATTGTGTTCTGGCTGGGGCTGTGGCCCAGGAGGCTGTGCCACGGCTTTGATCCTGGCGTGGTGGCAGCTGCAGGTGCCAATTACCCAGGGCAGCGCCCAGGGAGCCTCCAGGAGACGCCGCTGCCCGGAGCTTCCCTGGAGTCACAGCCTGCTGGAGATGACCTGGATAAATCCAGACTGGGAGCTGCTCCTGGGAGCCAGCCCGGCCCTGCTCTGCCCCGGGGCAATCCCTGCTTTCTCCAGCCTCTGTGACTCCAGCTGGGCTCAGCTTTTCCAAGCTTGGCTTCTCCCTGAGCTCTTTTTTCCAAGCTGCTGGTGCTGATCCATCAGGATGGGAGGGATGGGCAGCGGCTCCCTGAGCTGGAGCTGCTCAGCTGCTTCCCGCCCCAGCGTGGAGCCAGCAGCTCCTTCCCTTCCTTCCTTCCTCCTTCCCTGGGCCGGGAGAGCCTTTCCCAGGAATGCTGTGTCCAGCAGATCCCACTTTGATCCCGGTTTGATCCTGGTTTGATCCCTGCTCCTGTGGTGGGTGGACCCTGCCTGTTTCCCTCATCATCCCCAGCAGGGCTCCGAGGGGAGCTGTGGGGGCTGGAACTCCCGGTCCCCATCCACAGGATGTGTGAAATTCCATTTCCCTTTTCCAGAGGGAGTGCATTTCCATGTTTCCCTTTTCCAGAGGGAGTGCATTTCCATCCCCATCCCTGTGTGAAAGTCCATGTTTTTCCCTTTTCCAGAGGGATACAATTCCATGTTTTTCCCTTTTCCAGAGGGATACATTTCCCTGTTGTTTCCCTTTTCCAGAGGGATACAATTCCATGTTGTTTCCCTTTTCCAGAGGGAGTGCATTTCCATGTTTTTCCCTTTTCCAGAGGGAGTGCATTTCCCTGTTTGTTTCCCTTTTCCAGAGGGATACATTCCCATGTTTTTTCTTATTTCCAGAGGGATACATTTCCCTGTTTCCCCTTTTTCAGAGGCATACAATTCCACGTTTTCCCCTTTTCCAGAGGGATACATTTCCCTGTTTTTCCCTTTTCCAGAGGGATACAATTCCATGTTTTCCCCTTTTCCAGAGGGATACATTTCCCTCTTTTTCCCTTTTCCAGAGGGAGTGCATTTCCATCCCCATCCCTGTGTGAAATTCCATGTTTTTCCCTTTTCCAGAGGGATACATTTCCCTGTTGTTTCCCTTTTCCAGAGCGATACAATTCCCTGTTGTTTCCCTTTTCCAGAGGGAGTGCATTTCCATCCACATCCCTCTCCACAGGATGTGTGAAATTCTATTTCCCTTTTCCAGAGGGATACAATTCCACATTTTTCCCTTTTCCAGAGGGATACATTTCCCTGTTTTTTCCCTTTTCCAGAGGAAGACAATTCCATGTTTTCCCCTTTTCCAGAGGGATACAATTCCACATTTTCCCCTTTTCCAGAGGGATACAATTCCACGTTGTTTCCCTTTTCCAGAGGGATACAATTCCATGTTTTTCCCTTTTCCAGAGGAGTGCATTTCCATCCACATCCCTCTCCACAGGATGTGTGAAATTCCACGTTTCCCTTTTCCAGAGGGATACATTTCCATGTTTCCCTTTTCCAGAGGGATACATTTCGCTGTTTTTTCCCTTTTCCAGAGGGATACATTTCCCTCTTTTTCCCTTTTCCAGAGGGATACATTTCCATGTTTCCCTTTTCCAGAGGGATACATTTCCCTCTTTTTCCCTTTTCCAGAGGGATACATTTCCATGGTTTTTTCCCTTTTCCAGAGGGAGTGCATTTCCATCCCCATCCCTGTGTGAAATTCCATGTTTTTCCCTTTTCCAGAGGGATACAATTCCCTGTTGTTTCCCTTTTCCAGAGCGATACAATTCCCTGTTGTTTCCCTTTTCCAGAGGGAGTGCATTTCCATCCACATCCCTCTCCACAGGATGTGTGAAATTCTATTTCCCTTTTCCAGAGGAATACAATTCCACATTTTTCCCTTTTCCAGAGGGATACATTTCCATGTTTTTCCCTTTTCCAGAGGAATACAATTCCACATTTTTCCCTTTTCCAGAGGGATAAAATTCCACGTTGTTTCCCTTTTCCAGAGGGATACAATTCCATGTTTTTCCCTTTTCCAGAGGGATACATTTCCAGTTTTTTTTCCCTTTTCCAGAGGGAGTGCATTTCCATCCCCATCCCTGTGTGAAATTCCATGTTTTTCCCTTTTCCAGAGGGATACATTTCCCTGTTGTTTCCCTTTTCCAGAGCAATACAATTCCCTGTTGTTTCCCTTTTCCAGAGGGAGTGCATTTCCATCCACATCCCTCTCCACAGGATGTGTGAAATTCTATTTCCCTTTTCCAGAGGGATACATTTCCATGTTTTTCCCTTTTCCAGAGGGATACAATTCCATGTTTTCCCCTTTTCCAGAGGGATACAATTCCACATTTTTCCCTTTTCCAGAGGGATACAATTCCATGTTTTTCCCTTTTCCAGAGGGATACAATTCCAGTTTTTTTTTCCCTTTTCCAGAGGGAGTGCATTTCCATCCACATCGGGCAGGCCGGGGTGCAGATGGGCAATGCCTGCTGGGAGCTGTATTGCCTGGAGCACGGCATCCAGGCCGATGGGACCATCCCCGGCTCCAAGCAGGTGAAATCCATGGATCCCAGCTCCGAGCAGGTGGATTCCTCCTTCGAGACCTTCTTCTGTGAGACAGCCTCTGGCAAGCACGTGCCCCGGGCCGTGTTCATTGACCTGGAGCCCACTGTCATTGGTAAAAATGGGATTATTTTTTTCCCCTGATCCATCTTTATCCGTAATTCCCAACCCTTTTTCCATGGGATCCTGATGTTACCACTCCTCTGCTCTGGTTAAATGTCCCCAGGCATTGGGAGCAGACAGAATTTACCCTTCCAAAGGGACCAGGAGGGACAAACCCGTGGTTGTCACCGAGTTGTCTTTGTTCCCTCATTTTGGGACCTTCAGCAGGTGGAAAATGTCCTGGATTTGCCAGCCTTGGTGGTCCTGGCTGGAATTCCTCCATCCCACGGCCAGATGTGGCACATCTGGTTCTCATGCCGTCCATGAAGTGGGGTGACACATGTGCCATGGTTTTGTGGGACTGGCTGTCCTGTCTGGCCAACTTCATCTTGGAGCTCTCTTCCAACCTGATGGCTTCCCAAAAATTCCCACTTTTCCAACCTGATAGCTTCCCAAAAATTCCCACTTCTCCTTCCAGCTCCCTCAGGGATCTCTGGGTGTTTGTTTGTGTGGCACCTCAACTTGAAGTGTCCTCTTAGAGAATAATAATTATTTGTTTAGGAAATGACTCCCAAGTCCAACCACCTGCTCCTGCCTTCCAGGCTTCTCCTCCTATCTTTCCATCTGGGCTGTGACTCATTAGTCCTAATTAAAGGGTTTTGCAGGCTTTTGTTTGGGTTCTGCTTAATTTACAGACACCTCATTAAGGTATCAAGTGGAGAGCTTAATGAGTGAGCCAGGAGATTATGGAATGTGTTTTATGTTGGAATGGAGTGGATTTAAAAACCCTCTGGAGCTGGGTCAGGTGGAAATGTCAACACTGGAGGGGTTTTGTCTGTGTCCCTTCCGTGCTGGAGAGCAGAGGATGGAGCTGGAGCTTCCAAATTTTTCCTCCAAGCTGCCTGTGGCAACTGATCCCACAAAAACTCTGGGATTGTGGTGTCCTGGCTCATTAAACCGGATTAATTCAGGATTTCAGGCTGGGTGCAGGGTGAGGATGGAGTTCTGGTAGGACATTACCTGTGTGGCAAGAATATCCCATTTGGGATGTTCTTGCCTCCCCCAACCCAGAACTGCTGGGATTTGGGGTGAATCAAAGGAAGTTTGGGGATTTTGAACGGGAGATGAAGAGGTAAATAAGGGAATTAGGAGGAAAGTCATGAGAACCACACAGGAAACCCCACAGGAATGAGGCCAAAAGTGATTCCCAGTCCTTGGCAGGAGGGAAAAATGAATCCTTAAGGAACCCACAGGGGCTGAGCCGCCCCCTTCCATTATTCCCACAACCCTTCCCTGACCATGCCATGCCCTCCTGCTGGACATTCCATGGATTTTGCTCCATCAGCTTCTCCCAGAACCTTTCTTTGTGCCCTGCTCTGGCTGATTTCTCCCCCTGGTGCAGATGAGATCAGGACGGGGCCCTACCACGGGCTCTTCCACCCGGAGCAGCTCATCAGCGGCAAGGAGGACGCTGCCAACAACTACGCCCGCGGGCACTACACCATCGGCAAGGAGATCATCGACACCGTGCTCAGCCGCATCCGCAAAATGGTGAGGAAAACACCAAATTCTGGGTTAAAATAGCGCCCTTCTGGATTAAAATAATGCCCTTCTGGGTTAAAATAACGTAACACGCTTCTGGACAACGCTGTGGAGTTTGGGGTAGGAGTCTTGAAGTGGAAAAGTCTTAAATTAAAAAATAGCTTTAGGTGAGGTCCAAGCGTTGTTGCGGCTGTTGGGATTTGGTTTGGGGCTCGGAAGGCCTCCGGATTTGTGTGTTTGTCCTAAAAGCAGAGGATTGTTGTGTTAAAACTGGGCTTAAGATGGTCAGTGAGTGCTCTAAGCAGAATTTTGTGCTGTATTACTTGGGATAGTTATCCCAGTCCTTAAATGGATAACTATCCATTTTTGGGGGATAGGTATCCCAGTCCTTAAATTGATAAATATCCATTTTTTTGGGATAGTTATCCCAGTTCTTAAATGGATAAATATCTGTTTTGTTGGGATAGTTATCCTAGTCCTTAAATGGATAAATATCCAGTATTCTTGGGATAGTTATGCCAGTTCTTAAAGAAATAAATATCCATTATTGGGATAGTTATCCCAGTCCTTAAATGGATAAATATCCATTTCTTTTGGGATAGTTATCCCCATCCCTACAGGCATAAATATCCTTTTTTTTTGGGGATAGATATCCCAGTTCTTAAATGGTTAAATATCCATTTTGTTTGGATAGTTATCCTAGTCCTTACAGGCATAAGTATAGAATATTCTTGGGATAGTTTTCTAGTCCTTGGGATAAATATCCAGTATTCCTGGGATAGTTATTCCAGTCCTATAGAGGGATAAATATCCATTTTCTTGGGATAATTATCCCAGTCCTTACAGGGAAAAAGATCCAATATTCTTGGGATAATTATTCTGGTCCTTACAGGGAAAAATACCTGCTTTCTAGGGATAATTATCCCAGTATTCTTGGGATAGTTGTCCCAGTTCTTAAAGAAATAAATCTCCACTTTTGGGATAGTTATCCCAGTCCTTAAATGGATAAATATCCATTTTTTGGGGGGATAGTTATCCCAGTCCTTACAGGCCTAAATATAGAATATTCTTGGGGTAGTTTTCTAGTCCTTGGGATAAATATCCAATATTCTTGGGATAAATATCCTGGTCCTTAGAGGGAAAAATATCTGTTTTCTTGGGATAGTTACTCCAGTCCTGAAAGGGGTAAATATCCATATTCTTGGGATATTTTTTGGGTCCTTGGGTAAATATCCAACGTTGTGCTGCAGGCTGACCAGTGCAGTGGACTCCAAGGCTTCCTGGTCTTCCACAGCTTTGGAGGAGGCACCGGCTCCGGCTTCACCTCGCTCCTCATGGAGCGGCTCTCCGTGGAGTACAGCAAGAAGTCCAAGCTGGAGTTCTCGGTGTACCCGGCCCCGCAGGTGTCCACGGCCGTGGTGGAGCCCTACAACTCCATCCTGACCACGCACACCACGCTGGAGCACTCGGACTGCTCCTTCATGGTGGACAACGAGGCCATCTACGACATCTGCCACCGCAACCTGGACATCGAGCGCCCCACCTACACCAACCTCAACCGCCTGATCGGCCAGATCGTCTCCTCGGTCACGGCCTCGCTGCGCTTCAACGGCGCCCTCAACGTGGACCTCATCGAGTTCCAGACCAACCTGGTGCCCTACCCGCGCATCCACTTCCCGCTCACCACCTACGCGCCCATCGTCTCGGCGGAGAAGGCCTACCACGAGCAGCTCTCCGTGCCCGAGATCACCAACGCCTGCTTCGAGTTCTCCAACCAGATGGTCAAGTGCGACCCTCGCCGCGGCAAGTACATGGCGTGCTGCCTGCTCTACCGCGGGGACGTTGTCCCCAAGGACGTCAACGCCGCCATCGCCGCCATCAAGACGCGCCGCTCCATCCAGTTCGTGGACTGGTGCCCCACCGGTTTCAAGGTGGGCATCAACTACCAGCCGCCCACGGTGGTGCCCGGGGGGGACCTGGCCAAGGTGCAGAGGGCTGTGTGCATGCTGAGCAACACCACGGCCATCGCCGAGGCCTGGGCCCGCCTGGACCACAAGTTTGACCTGATGTACGCCAAGCGCGCCTTCGTGCACTGGTACGTGGGGGAGGGCATGGAGGAGGGCGAGTTCTCCGAGGCCAGGGAGGACCTGGCGGCCCTGGAGAAGGATTATGAGGAGGTTGGAAGGGACTCGGCGGACGGGGAGGAGGATGAGGGTGAGGAGGATGAGTACTGACAGACTGCGGCCTGGTCTTGAGCTCGGCTGGAATCCAGACTCGTGTCCCGAGTTCCTGAGGGCCCGGGGGTGCCCGAGGACCGGCCACATTTGATTTATTAAACCTCCCCTGCTTGCATAGAGCTCCTCTCTAGCCTGGGTGTCTTGAGCTTTATCCCACTGCTGTTTATTGGTGAGTGTTGCTGAGCTGGGCCTAACTCAGGCCTAACTCAGGCCTGACGTCCGGCCTAGCCAGGAGATCCCGGTTCCTAACCCGGGAATGTCTCAGCTGCCTGCTTTGGCTGGAATGGCAAACTCTTGCTCTGGCTTTTTCTTGTAAAAGCACTTTGGAATTAGAAATGCACCTGTAAACTTCTATGCAAATGGCTTTTTGTATATGAATAAAGAGGGTTTTTTTGGCTCAGAATTCCTTGGATTTCCCCCCCAGGGGGTTTTGTGGGGAGGCTCCTGCTTGGAGATGGCCTGAGGAGAAGAGCAGATGCTGATCAGGGTGTGCTGTGAGAGTCATCATCCCTAATTAGTGTTGTGGGGGAAGCGTCCTATATCCTGTGGGAATTTCTGTCTGGGGCTGGCTGCTGCTCAGGGAACTCCACGTCTGGGATCAGGGAATCACTTCTGGGTACTGGGGAGCAATTTTGGCCTCCTCACCACCTTTGGTGAAGCTCAGGTGTTGTCTGAGCAAATCCCGGTGGTCTGGAGGAGTGCTGAGGATTTGGGAAATATTCCCAGAGCAGGGAAATCCAGCCAGGAATGGGGAGAGGAGAGGGGGGAGCTGTGTCTGATATTTGGGACAGGAGGTGGAAGGATCCCAAAACTCTTTGGTGGCCCTAAAAGGACCAGGTTGGAGGTGGCTTCTGGGAAGGCCCAGGTCCCTTGAGTCACCTCAAAGTCCCCAACCCAGATTGTCCCCAAGAAGATTCCAGGTCCAGCCAGGAATGGGGACAGGGAAAGGGAGGGGAGCTGTGTTTGATATTTGGAACAGGAGGTGGAAGGACCCCAAAACTTGTTTGGTGGCCCTAAAAGGACCAGGTTGGCCCCTGGGAAGGCTGAGGTCCCTTGAGCCACCCCAGAGGTTGTCACCCCCAAGTCCCCATCCCAGATTGTCCCCAAGAAGATTCCAGGTCCAGACAGGGAAAGGGAAGGGAGCTGTGAGCGTTGAATCACCTTAGAAAGGAGAGGAGGGGAATTTTGGGGAAAATCCCACAATTTTTGGGGAGCTGGAACCTCCAATTCTCTCCTTGAGAGGTGAATCCTCGTAGAGTGACTTCAGCTTTATTTTCCCTCCTTGGGAATAGCAAAGCTGCTCCTACAAAATTCCAGCCTGTGGGAATGTTCCCGTCCCTCTTCCAGCCCATCCACTCTTCTTAATTCTGTGTAATTCATAATTAATCCATTGAGTGAATTACTTTGTGCTGATGGTAAATTCTACAGAACCTTTTGTTGAATTGTTTTAGTTAGGCCATTAATTAGGAGCTTTAATTTGAATTTCATTTTTTAATTTAAAAGTTAAAACCTTTAAATTGTTGATGAAGGGACTCAGTTTGATTGTTTGATTAAGGGGCCTCAGCTTAATTGTTTAATTGTTGATTAAGGGGCCTCAGGATTCCATGGGAAGATCTCCCTTATTCCTTTTATCCTTTCCCATTCCCAACCTCCACACAGCTCATTTTTGTTGATTTTTACTCTCAGATTACTCAAATTTAGGTTTTATTTTGCTTTTTCCCTGGGCTTTGCCCATCCAGTAAAAGCTGCAGGCTGAGCTTTGCCAAGGAGCTTTGTCACGCTTTCGCTTTTAGATGAAATCCTCTTTTTTCCATAAGGAATCCTTAAACCTCTCATTCCTGCTAAAGCAATCTCTGTCCTGCTGCCAGGGCTGGAAATTTAATTGGGATTGAGATGGGAATTCCAGCACTTTGGAATGGGAAATCCTTTCCCATTCCCAACCTCCACACAGCTCATTTTTGTTGATTTTTACTCTCAGATTACTCAAATTTAGGTTTTATTTTGCTTTTTCCCTGGGCTTTGCCCATCCAGTAAAAGCTGCAGGCTGAGCTTTGCCAAGGAGCTTTGTCACGCTTTCGCTTTTAGATGAAATCCTCTTTTTTCCATAAGGAATCCTTAAACCTCTCATTCCTGCTAAAGCAATCTCTGTCCTGCTGCCAGGGCTGGAAATTTAATTGGGATTGAGATGGGAATTCCAGCACTTTGGAATGGGAAATCCTTTCCCATTCCCAACCTCCACACAGCTCATTTTTGTTGATTTTTTTTTTTTTACTCTCAGATTGCTCAAATTTAGGTTTTATTTTGCATTTTTCCCTGAGCTTTGCCAAGGAGCTTTGTCACGCTTTCTCTTTCAGATGAAATCCACTTTTTTCCATATTTCTGCCAGAGATTCCCTAGGGAATCCTTAAACCTCTCATTCCTGCTAAAGCAATCTCTGTCCTGCTGCCAGTGCTGGAAATTTAATTGGGATTGAGATGGGAATTCCAGCACTTTGGCTCTGTCAGCCTCCCATAAAACCGTGTCCAAGCTGCCTGAAGCAATTCCTTCCCTCTCCTGGCTGCTCCCAGACGTGATGTGAGAATCCCTGGAAGCTGCAAAGGAGCTGGAAAAGGGGATTGGGCCCGACCTCTGCCTGTCCCTGGATTGCAGCTGGGTCATTCCTCCTCCTCTGGGGACTCCCCACGCTGTGAGGGATCCAAGAAAAGCAGCTTGGGCAGGAAAAAAAAGGAAAGGAAAGAAAGGAATCCAAGGAAAAAAAGAGAAACGCAAGGGGGAAAAAAAATGAAAAATCCAAGGGGAAAAAAAGGAAAAATCCGAGGAGAAAAATAAAAAGAAAAATCCAAGGGGGGAAAAAAAAAGAAAAATCCCTGCTCTGGATTTTCCATCTCCTGTCCATGTGCTGGGGAGATCCATGAGAGCTCCTGGCTGGTGGGAATGCCCCAAATCCCGGGATAAGGGGTCCCAGCCCCAGCTGGGCCAGGCAGGAACCCCAGGAATGCCCCAGCTGTGGGACAGGACATTCCAGGAGCAGGGCAGGCATCCTGGGAAGGGGATTCGTCCCACCAGGGATGGCTCCTGGTAGAATTCCCTACAAATCCATCCCAATCCTTGTCCCATTCCTGCTGGGAATTACTTTGGTTTTCCCATCCAAACCCCATGGATGTGCACGTGGGTGTGTTCCCCAAATACCGGGAATGTAATTTTGGAATGTGTCCCTCAGCAGGTGGGGCTGGATCCTCCTCGATCCCAGGATGGGACTGAGGACCCTGCTGCCCTTGGGAATGTGGGAGCTCTTGTAGCACCTCTGGTTTGCTCTCCGTTTGGGAAGGGCCCATTTGGGAAAGATCAATTTGGGATGGATCCATTTGGGAAGGGTCAGTTTGGGAAGGATTCATTTTGGGAAAGGTTAATTGGGGAAGGTCAGTTTGGGAAGGGTCAGTTTGGGGAGGATCCATTTGGGGAGGGTCAGTTTGGGAAGGGTCAGTTTGGGGAGGATCCATTTGGGAGAGATCTGTTCCCATCTGTTTGGAAAGTGTTCATTTGGGAAGGAATCATTTGGGAAAGGTTAATTTGGAAAGGATCAATTTGGGAAAGGTTCGTTTGGTAAGGGTTCATTTGGGAAGGATCAATTTGGGAAGGGTCTATTTGGGAGGGGTTAATTTGGGTTCATTTGGGAAGGGTTAATTTGAGGAGGATCCATTTGGGAATGATCCATTTGGGAGGGGTTAATTCAGGAAGGATCCATGTGGGAATGATCCATTTGAGAACGATCCGTTTGTGAAGGATCCATTTGGGAAGGGTTTATCCAGGTGCCAGGTGTGGGTGGGACTCTCCCCTGGGATGCAGCCGGGATGGGAGGATCCCTCCCTTCCCCACCACTCCTTATCAGCTGATAAGAGCTGTCCCTGCCTCAGCTCTGCCTGGAGCCAGCAGATCCCTGAGCCCATCCCTTCCCACCTGGAACCCACAGATCCCTGAGCCCATCCCTTCCCACTTCCCTGGGAATTTCCTTCCCTAAAGGAGGAAGATCCTGTGGGAGCTCCAGGTGGGTGATGTTTGGAATTCCGGTCTGTCCCACAGGGCTGGGATGTTCTCCTGGATGTTCTCCTGCATGTTCTCCTGGATGTTCTCCTTGTCCACCAGGAGCTGGGAAAGGATCCCAGGCAGGGCTGGTGGGGGGAGAAACTGTTCCCAGCCTGGAGCAGGACTTTCCTGGGAATCCCAGTGGGACACTGGGGCCGTGTGGGCGACAATGGCTCCATCAGGGGACACTGGGGCTATGTGGGTGACAATGGCCAGGGCCCATCAGGGGACACCAGGGCTGTGTGGGTGACATTGGCCAGGGCCCATCAGGGGACACCAGGGCCCTGTGGGTGACAATGGCTGGGCCTATATTGGGACACTGGGGCTGTGTGGGTGACAATGGGGACCCATGTGGGGACACTGGGGCTGTGTGGGTGACAATGGCCAGGGCCCATTGGGGACACCAGGGCCCTGTGGGTGACAATGGCTGGGCCTATATTGGGACACTGGGACTGTGTGGGTGACAATGGCTCCATCAGGAGACACCAGGGCTGTGTGGGTGACAATGGCCAAGGCCCATCACGGGACACTGGGGCTATGTGGGTGACAATGGCCAGGGCTGTGTGGGTGACAATGGGGACCCATATGGGGACACCAGGGCTGTGTGGATGAAAATGGCCAGGGCCCATCAGGGGACACCGGGACCCTCTTGGTGGCACTGGCTATGGCTCATCTGGGGACACCAGGGCTGTGTGGGTGACAATGACTGGGACCCACTGGGGACACCGAGGCCATGTGGGTGACAATGGGGCCCATCTGGGGACACCAGGGCCATATTGGTGGCTCTGGCCATTCAGGGACACTGGGGCCATGTGGGTGACAATGGCCGAGACCCATCTGGGGACACCAGGGCCATATTGGTGGCTCTGGCCATCAGGGGACCCTGGGGCCGTGTGTGTGGGGAGGTTGGTGCTGAAGGTGCTGGTGACAAACTCAGGGATGACCCAGGAGGACAAACTGGGAGATCCCTCCTGGGGTTGTCCCTTCCTGGTGGGTTGGTGGCCATGGCAGGAACAGCTTGTGGCAGGATTTGGGATGGCCGTGGTGGGGACAGGGCCACCAAACTGGGGGAGGTTCCGGAATCCCTACGGACCCAACGGAGCAGCGGGGGCAGGAGATGGGACAACAACAAAGCCTTGGAAACTCCAGAGATGGCAGCTTTAATCAGGAACCTTCCCGGTGACGCGTCCCCTGCGCCCTGCTGGGGACAGGAGCCTCTTCCCTGCGCATGGAAACCTCCGGAAGGAACGGCGGGGGAGAGCGGGGAGGAGGAGGAGGAGGAGGAGGAGGAATACAGATGAGGGGTCGCTCGATGGGTCACAACCAGCCCAGGCCGATGTCACAGCCGGCCATCTGTCCCCTCGGGTGGCCCCCAGTCACTTCCTGCGGCCGATCTGCGCCATCAGGTGCGCGTTGGCCGCCGCCTTGGCCCGCAAGTTCTTGGCCTTGGCGATGTTGAAGAGGATGTTCATGATGTTGGTGGGGACGTCGAGGGACAGCGTCACCTTGGTGCGCCGGTCGCTCTTGGCCCGGTTCTGCTGGCCCTTGCCCTTGCCCTGCGCCTGGGACGCGTATTTGTGGCGGCCGTCCCCCGGGAATGTCCTTTTCCCCAGCTCCTCCTCCTCCTCCTCCTCCGTGTCCTCCTCGGGCGCCTCCTCCATGGATGGGGACGCGGATCCGCGCTTTTCCAGGACGGTGTTGTCCTCGGGAAGGATCCGCCGTGGCTCCGAGAGGGCGGCCTGCAGGCAGCTGAGGATGGAGGCGGCGCTGGACAGGCTGAGGGCGCGGCCGGCGCCGGCGGCTGCCAGCAGGACGAGGAGCAGCAGCAGCCTGGGGTGGGACATGGCGCTGGCCTGGCCCGGGGACACCCGGGAGGGCAGAGAGGGACGTGAGCTTCCCGTGGGAAGAAAGATCCTCATCTCCCCATCTCCCCAATTCCTCATCCCTTCCCCATCCCTGAACTCCCCTCCCTGCGCTCTTGGAGTCACCTCCCAGGTCTCATCCAAAGGTTAGAGCAGGTGGGAAGGAGATTGCTTGGGATGCAAGCCCCAGGCCTTGGTTTTGGGGTGCTGGTGGGAGGTGGGATGTCCAAGGAGCTTCCATGGAATTTTCATGGAGGTAAGAGTTTGGCCTTTGCTTCCATGGAGCTTCCATGGAGAGGAGGACTTGGCCATGCCTTCATGGAACTTCCATGGAGAGGAGGACTTGGCCATGCCTTCATGGAACTTCCATGGAGAGGAGGATTTGGCCTGAGCTTCCACGGAGCTTCCACGGAGCTTCCACGGAGCTTCCATGGAGAGGAGGATTTGGTATTTCCTTCATGGAACTTCCATGAAGCTTCCATGGAGGGGAGGATTTGACCTTTCTTCCATGGAACTTCCACTGAGAGGAGGACTCGGCCTTTCCTTTCTGGAGTTTCCATGGAGAGGAGGATTTTGTCTTTCCTTCATGGAACTTCTATGGAGGTTCCATGGAGAAGAGGATTTGGCCTGAGCTTCCATGGAGCTTCCGTGGAGGGGAGAATTTGACATTTCTTTCACGGAATTTCCATGGAGAGGAGGACTGAACCTTTCCTTCATGGAGTTTCCATGGAGCTTCCACAGATCTTCCATGGGGGTGAGGGTTTGGCCATTCCTTCATGGAGCTTCCATGGATGAGAGGATTTGGCCTTTCCTTCCTGGAGCTTCCATTGAACTTCCATGGAGATGAGGGTTTGACCTTTGCTTCCATTGAACTTCCATGGAGCTTTCATGGAGAGGAGAACTTGGCCTTTCCTTCGTGGAACTTCCATGGAGAGGAGGAATACTTAGCCTTTCTTTCATGGAGTTTCCATGGAGCTTCCGTGGATGAGAGGATCAGACCTTTCCTTCATGGAACTTCCACGGAGAGGAGGAATACTTAGCCTTTCTTTCATGGAGTTTCCGTGGAGCTTCCACAGAACTTCCATGTACGTGAGGGTTTGGACTTTCCTTCATGGAACTTCCATGAGGAGGAGGATTTGGCCTTTTCATCATATATTTTCCATGGAGCTTCCACAGAACTTCCATGGAGGTGAGGGTTTGGCTTTTCCTCCATGGACCTTCCATGGATGAGAGGATTTGACCTTTCCTTCATGGAATTTCCATGGAACTTCTGTGTAGAGGAGGACTTAGCCTTTCCTTTGTGGAGTTTCCATGGAGCTTCCACAGAGCTTCCATGGAGGTGAAGGTTTGGCCTTTCCTTCATGGAACTTCCATGGAGCGTCCATGAATGAGAGGATTTGACATTTCCTTCATGGAATTTCCATGGAACTTCCATGAGGAGGAGGATTTGGCCTTTTCATCGTGTATTTTCCATGGAGCTTCCACAGAACTTCCATGGAGGTGAGGGTTTGGCCTTTCCTTCATGGAACTTCCATGGAGATTCTATGGGGAGGAGGATTTGGTCTTTCCATCATGGAGCTTCCATGGAGCTTCCACAGGGAGGAGGATTTGGCCTTTCCTTCGTGGAGTTTCCATGGAGCTTCCACAGGCTTCCATGGAGGTGATGATTTGGCCTTTCCTTCATGGAACTTCCATGGATGAGAGGATTTGACCTTTCCTTCATGAAATTTCCATGGAACTTCCATGGAGAGGAGGACTTAGCCTTTCCTTCATGGAGTTTCCATGGAGCTTCCACAGAGCTTCCATGGAGGTGAGGGTTTGGCCTTTCCTTCATGGAGCTTCCATGGATGAGAGGATTTGACATTTCCTTCATGGAGTTTCCATGGAGCTTCCACAAAACTTCCATGGAAGTGAGGGTTTGGCCTTTCCTTCATGGAACCTCCATGGATCTTCCATGGAGCTTCCTTGGAGAGGAGGATTTGGCCTTTCCTTCATGGAATTTCCATGGAGGGGAGGATTTGGCCATTCCTTCATGGATCTTCCATGGACCCTCCACAGCACCCCCGTGGCTGCTGCAGGCCCCGTTTGGAACCCCATGGATCCCTCTCCGGCTCCTGGAGTGTCCCTGGGTGCCACCAGCTGCCACAAAGGTGACGTTCCCTGTCCCCTGCTCACCCCGAAGCCACCAGAGATGTTCCTCAAGCCCATCCCACCCCCCTCAGTCCCAGAGGGATCTGGGAATGCTGATCCCATGTGATGGCCCCGTGTGCTCTGGGCTTGCTCCATCTCCAGGAGCCTCCTACTTGGAATATGGCCGTTTTTGGGGTTTTTTGGCCCATTTTTGGCCCATTTTTGGGTCTTTTGGGCCTGGTTTTGGGGGCTGTAAATCCCTGGATAGTTCTCCTGCTCCCCAAACCATCCCCATCTCCCTTTATCCCCACCTGACCTCTCCCAGAAATCCACCAAGGATCTCCAGTGGGGCTTTTTGTCCATTCCAGGATGGAAAAATGTCCCCAGCCAGCCCCGAGGCCACGCGGGCTCTCCAAGCGCCTGGAATCCTGCTGGAATTTCCAAACCCATGGAATCCTTCTGGCATTCCCAAAAACCCTGAAATCCTTCTGGCATTCCCCAAACCCTGGAGTCCTTCTGGCATTCCCAAAATCATGGAATCCTGCAAGCATTCCCAAATCCTGGAATCCTGCTGGAATTCCCCAAACCCCTGGACTAGTCCCAGAATTCCCAAACCCCTGGAATCCTGCTGGCATTCCACAAACCCCTGGAATCCTTCTGGCGTTCCCAAAACCCTGGAATCCTGCTGGAACTCCCCAAAATCTGGACTCCTGCTGGCATTCCCAAAACCCAGGAATGCTGCTGGCATTCCCAATCTTCTGGCCCCATCTTGTGGCCAGCGGCTCGCACGGCAATTCCCGGCCGGAATTCCATCCCAGGGTGGAATTTCAGCTGGGGCTGGAATTCCATCCCCGATTTTGGGGTTTGGATCGGCGGATTTCATCCCGTGGAGCAGCAGGAGGTGTTGGGAATGCCCCTGGGAATGGGGGATGTTCCTCAGATCCATCCAAACTCCATCCACGGTCTGGGATCTGTCACCTGCTCAGCCACGGTCCCTGAAATTGCCCTTCCCTGTCCGTGGAGGGGGAATTTTGGGAAGTTTTATCCCCTAAATTCTGCCCTTGCCATTCCTGGGAGTGATAATTTTGGGCAGGTTTATTCCCTTTAATTCTGCCCTTTATTGCCCATGGAGGGAGCGATTTGAGAAGTTTCATCCCCTGAGTTCTGCCCTTTGCCATGCCCTGAAGTGGAAATTTTGGGAAGGTCTTTTCTCCTTAAAATTTACCCTTTGCTGTTCCTCAGAGGGGGAATTTTGGGCGGGTTAATTCCTCTTAGGTCTGCCCCTTGCTGTTCCTTGGAGAGGGAGTTTTGGGCAGGTTTATTCCCTTAATACTTCTCTTTTCCATCCCTTGAAGAGCGAATTTTGGACAGGTTCTTTTCCTTTAAATTTGCCCTTTGATGTTCCTTAGAGTCAGAATTTAGGGCAGGTTTATTCCCTTAATTCTGCCCTTTATTGCCTATGGAGGGAGAGATTTGAGAAGTTTCATCTTCTAAATTCTGCATTTGCCATTCCTTGGAGAGGGAATTTTGGGAGGATTTACCCCCTCAATATTTCCCTTTTCCATTCCCTGAAGTGGAAATTTTGGGAAGGTCTTTTCTCCTTAAATTTACCCTTTGCTGTTCCTCAGAGGGGGAATTTTGGACAGGTTTATCCCTTATCTCTGCCCTTTATTGTCCAGGGAGGGAGAGATTTGGGAAGTTTCATCCTCTGAATTCTGCCCTTTGTCCCCTTGGAGAGGGAATTTTTGGAAGGTCTTTTCCCCCTAAATTTGCCATTTTCTGTTCCTCAGAGTGGGAATTCTGGGCTGATTGATTCCCTTAAATTCTGCCCTTTAGGGTCTCTTGGAGAGGGAATTTTGGGCAGGTTTATTCCATGTAAGTCTGCCCTTTATTGTCCATGGTGGCAGAGATTTGGGAAGTTTCATCCTCTAAATTTTGCTTTTTGCCATCCCTTGGAGAGGGAATTTTGTGCAGGTTTATTCCCTTGAACTCTGCCCTTTATTGCCTATGGAAGGAGAGATTTGGGAAGTTTTATCCCCTTAACTCTTCCTTTTTCCGTCCCTTTGAGAGGGAATTTTGGGAAGTTCTTCCCCTTAAATTTGCCCTTTGCTGCTCTTCGGAGTGGGAATTTTGGGCAGATTTTATTCCCTTAATTCCCTTAATTTTATTCCCTTAATTCTGCCCTTTATTGCCTATGGAGGGAGAGATTTGGGAAGTTTCATCCTCTAAATTTTACCTTTTGCCTTTCCGTGGAGGGAGAATTTTGGGCAGGTTTGTTCTCTTAAATCTGCCCTTTATTGCCTGTGAAGGGGGAAGTTTGGGAATTTTTATCTTCTAAATTTTGCCCTTTGCCATTCCTTGGAGTGGAAATTTTGGGCAGGACTTTCCCCCTTAAATTTACCCTTTGCTGTTCCTCGGAGTGGGAGTTTTGGGCAGATTTATCCCTTGAACTCTGCCTTTTGCCATCACTTGGAGAGGGAATTTTGGGCAGCTTTATTCCCTTTAGGTCTGCCCTTGGAGAGGGAATTCTGGGAATTTTTATCCTCTAAATTCTGCCTTTCATGATTCCATGGAGAAGGAATTTTGGGCAGGTTTTTTCCCATAACCTCTGCCCTTTATTGTGCATGGAGGGAGAGATTTGGGAAGTTTTATCCCATTAACTCTTCCCTTTTCCATTTCTTGGAGAGGGAATTTTGGGAAGGTCTTTCCCCTTAAATATTCCCTTTGCTGTTCCTCAGAGTGGGAATTTTGGGTGGTTTTATTTGTTTAATTCTGCCCTTTATTGCCAGTAGAGTGGGAGGTTTGGGAATTTTTGTCCTCTAAACTCTGCCTTTTGCCCTTCCTTGGAAAGG